CGCTGTGCTCTTTTTGGTGGTTATATGGCTTTTTTGGCTTTGAGTTTTTGTCAATTTTTTTGCTTTAAAAACTTTTGTTTTTGTTTTTATCTACTTAGTTTATTGATGATTTGATTCATTGAAACTTGAGTCATACAGTCGATAAAAGAATAAAAGGCAATCAAAGCAACAATATAACATTTTGATTTTAGGTCTTAGCTCAAGACTATCGCAACAGAACTAAAATCATCATGAACACTGATACTGCATTGAAGCTATTTTAGTTTGAGTGAATCTTGCCAATCTTACTGTCATTTTTAAGTAAATCGGTGGTTATTAATTAGTTAAGTGCATTTTAAAGCGATACTATTGTGGAATTGACGTTTGTCTCATCGGTCTAATTTGCAATCATTTGGGCTTGAACACCTTCATCTGGGCCATTTTAATATTTGTGATTGCTGGGTGGGCAGACTGCTAGAACTTTTCATCTGTTTCGTTTCCTGCTTCTACGCTTACATGATTTGCAAGAGTGTCATCGGCAACAACTTCCTTGGTTTTTGGTAAAGGATACTGGTGCTTTTTTGGCTTGCACTCCAGTGCACTAACAAGCTCAACATCATCGACAGCATTTTGTACTAGACCTTTTCTAACTTCATTGTAATATATGTCAAGCCAAACCTTAAAACTTTTTAACAACTGTAATCAATAATATTTATAGCGCCCGATAACGTCCTTTTGTACATATCGAAGATTAATTGTCCATCAAAGATAGTGAAGTAAGTTTCAATACTTGACCATTGCACCATCGCTATCACTGATGAATGTTGTTTTGCAATAGAACAGCTTGCTAAAAGAAGCTACACATTCACCTAATCACCTTCTAAATCAGTGATTATGTGTCACCGAGAAATGAATTTCTTGCTAGTATCAGGAGTGTAAGATTACAGCTAAATGGCAATGTCCCTAGAGTTTAGAGACTCCAGCGGTGTCCACACTAATCTACTGCTAACTAATCAACTGCCTGTGCCACGCTGATTATTCGTTCACTGCCTGATACAAGTCGACAGCTGTGTCTCTCGAGAGCACTCTACAAAGTGCTTTATAAGTTGATCGAGCTGACGAGTTTGAATTCACTTGAGATCTTCCTTGTGCACTTTTTTACACACCTGACGTTTGCCGATCAGCTTTACTTTCTTTTTAGCAAATCATGTCTTCAAACTCATCTTCACCAAAGGATGGCTGGTTCACCGAAACCGGCGTACTTAACTCTGACAATGTCAATTTGTCCATCAAGGTCAATGGCCTTCTTGACAAACGCAAATCTGACTTTCAAGATATTCTTCTTTTTAAAAAGTAAACACCTTTTACTTCATTATCCCATTTCCACGTTTACAATTTTTTCATTTCTTTCCTTTTCTTCAGTGACATCTTTGGTCGATGTCTCGTTCTCGACGATGCCATTCAGTGCACTGAACTGGATGAATCAGCGTACCAAGAGACGATCTCTTTTCTGCCGCTTAATAGCCACCCCGATCCAAGGCGAGTGCTCATCATCGGCGGCGGAGACGGTGGTGTGGCTCGCGAGGTGAGCAAGCACCCCAAAGTGCAGGAGATTATTCAGTGCGAGATTGACGAGGAGGTGGTGAAGGTGTCGAAGCAGTACCTGCCCTTCATGGCCAGCGGATTCGACAGTCCCAAACTGAAGCTGCTCTTCGCCGACGGCTACCAGTACGTGATCGACCACAAGGCCGAGTTCGACGTCATCATCACCGACAGCTCTGACCCGAAGGGACCGGCGGTGACACTGTACCAGAAGGAGTACTACCGAGCACTGTACGAGGCGCTTCGTCCGGGTGGCATCATCTGCTGTCAGGCGGAGTCCTACTGGTTCGATCTGCCCTTCATCAAGGAGCTCTTCACCAAGGTCAAGCCCATCTTCCCTTCAGTGGCGTACGCCTCCACGGCCGTCGCGTCCTACCCCTCCGGGCAGATTGGCTTTCTCATCTGCAGCAAATCGGCCGATGTCAACTTTGGCGAGCCGCTCCACGTCTTCACCGCCGAGGACTGTGACCAGCTGCAGCTGAAGTACTACTCGGCGGCGATGCATCGAAGCGCCTTCACGCTGCCACTCTTTGTGCACAAGGTAATAAGCCAGACAACAAAAACATTCACATTTTTCACTACAAAGTGTTAACACGTTCTTTATTTTTCTTTTTTACTCACTGACCAGGAACTCAACAAAACGTAAGCTGACTGCTTATTTAATAATACGGCGCACCACATGTGAAATAAAATGAAATCTTAATGATTACAAATAAAAATTTTGTTGTTCTAATAAGAATTTAAAAATGCGCTTAAAGCTGGTGTCGCAGGTGACACACGCAGTTGTGGTGGTGACCAGAGGAAGAGAGTGTGAGTGGTACCGGGCAGCGCCGTTTACTTGGTGCTGATGAACTTGATGAGGTCGATGACGCGGTGGCTGTAGCCATACTCGTTGTCGTACCACGAGATCAGCTTCACAAAGGTGGGAGTCAGCTGAATGCCAGCCTTGGCGTCAAAGATGGAGCTACGCGGGTCAGAGNCTGATGAACTTGATGAGGTCGATGACGCGGTGGCTGTAGCCATACTCGTTGTCGTACCACGAGATCAGCTTCACAAAGGTGGGAGTCAGCTGAATGCCAGCCTTGGCGTCAAAGATGGAGCTACGCGGGTCAGAGATGAAGTCAGAGCTGACGAGCTCCTCCTCAGTGTAGCCGAGAATGCCTGCAAATGGTAAACAGAGCAGCTATTAAAAGAAAGCTCAGGGAAACTATAGCNCTTCACAAAGGTGGGAGTCAGCTGAATGCCAGCCTTGGCGTCAAAGATGGAGCTACGCGGGTCAGAGATGAAGTCAGAGCTGACGAGCTCCTCCTCAGTGTAGCCGAGAATGCCTGAAAACGGTAAACAGAGCAGCTATTAATAGAAAGCTCAGAGGAAAACTATAGTGCACTTACCCTTGAGATTGTCGCTCTCCGAGGCGGCCTTCACGGCAGCCTTGATCTCATCGTAAGTGGCCGCCTTCTTCAGGGTGACGGTCAGATCAACGACAGACACATCGGGGACGGGCACGCGGAAAGCCATGCCGGTGAGCTTGCCGTTCAGCTCGGGAATCACCTTGCCGACGGCCTTGGCGGCGCCAGTCGAGGCAGGGATGATGTTCTGGGCAGCGCCACGACCATCACGCCACAGCTTGCCACTGGGGCCGTCCACAGTCTTCTGGGTGGCGGTGGTGGCGTGCACAGTGGTCATCAGACCCTGCTCAATGCCAAAGTTGTCATTGATGACCTTGGCGAGGGGAGCCAGGCAGTTGGTAGTGCAGGAAGCGTTGGAGATGATGTCCTGCGATGGATCGTAAGCCTGGTGGTTCACGCCCATGACGTACATGGGAGCATCAGCCGACGGGGCGGAGATGACAACCTTCTTGGCGCCGCCCTGCAGATGAGACTTGGCCTTCTCCAGAGTGGTGAAGACGCCGGTCGACTCGACGACCACCTCAGCGCCGGCCTTGCCCCAGGGAATGTCAGCGGGGTTGCGCTCCTGGAACACCTGAATGGGCTTGCCGTTGATGACCAGCAGGCCACCCTCCTCCTTCACCTCACCCTTGAACTTGTTGTGGGTGCTGTCATAGCGGAACATGTACACCATGTAGTGCACATCTACAGATCACGTGGCAGAGAGGAGGAAAGGAGAGTTAGAGGAGACAGTCGTACGCTTGAGGACATCTGTTACTCACCAATGAAGGGATCGTTGATGGCCACCACTTCAACGCCCTTCTCAACAGCGGCGCGGACAACCAGACGACCAATGCGGCCGAATCCATTGACACCAACTGAGGGACAAATGGAGAGAGTGAGTGAGACCGAATAAGACGATAAGAAAGTAGTGTACTTACTCTTGTTAGCGAGAGGCATGTTGTTTCGAGAAATCTGAGAAAGACAAACAAGCAAGGAGTGAATGTCAGTGAGGGAAGTGGAAAGGGAGTGAAGGCCTGGAATCGATGAGTTGTCACAATGACATTGACAGCTGTCACCGAAGGAAAGCCGACTTACCGAATTGAAGGTTGAGAGTGAGAGAAGGGAAGAAACGACAGAGAGCGAGCGACAAAGTCACAGACAGACGGCAAAGTGAGACCGACCGAAAGTCGTCGTAGGCTTTTATAAGCTACGCCGAGTCTGGCCAGACTGGAGGGGCACTTGGGCATGCGCTCCACCGTAAATGTGAAAGTGAGATGTGCAGTGGCAGTTGCAGTGGCTGCCAGTCTGGTGGCGGCGGCTGGCTGGCAGCAGCAGTAATGTCACGCCAGAGCCATGCTCTCGCCTGCACGTTCGCCGCTGCAAGACTGCAAGGTAACCTTGAGATGGCGAGAAGATGACGAGAAGAAGAGGAGAACGCTCAAAGCTAGCCGAGAACTGATTCGGGCGCCACCGCCACCAGGAAAGGACACCCAATGAGGTGGTGCATCCCCTGAATGACCAGACTGTCCCAATCGGACAACCGAACTTTAACCTTTACACTCGACTGTTGCACGGTTCAGACTGCAACGATGGCAATGGTACACTCATGTGTGAGATAGATTGGCCATTTATTCATTAGTTCATTGGTGGTGATAAGACACAACATTTGTCGCCAACTGCTAAAAAGCACTTAACTGCACATCTGGCAGGCGCTCAGCGGACTGCTCTCGCAGCAGCTCCTTTGTCACGATTGTTTAGACGACTTTTTCGCCAATCGGGAAATTACAGTAGAATGGGGGCAAGTTGCGAAGGCATTGCATCACTAGAGTGACGAGCGGTAAATTATTCAGCTTCAGCGTTTAGTCTTTTTGCTGTAGCCCTCCTCTGGCAGGTAGGACATTCCCGCCTCGCTACCGTTAGCTTTCCTCTTGGCGAGTATTTGGTTGATCTTCTGCAGATCACGGTCCAACTTGGCCTTCTCCTCTTTCTTTGAGGGCGCGCGCTTGGAGCTGCCACTCCTTCCTTCGCCCCCTTTGACTCCGTATTGGAAAGCCGCCTTAGGCGTCGCCTCCATATTGCTCATGTAGGAGGCGTACTCTTCGGCGCTGTCAAAGTCCCAGCGGTTCAGGAGGTTGTGGCCCTTCTTGCTGTTGCTGTTGTCCATCTTTGAGTAGTCTGCCTCGTCATCGCTATCGATGATGGCGTCATCATTCTCCGGCGCCCCAGGGTAGCACTCAGCGTAGCCATCAGGTTCAGGTTGATACTTGGCTGATTTTCTCCTCGACATTGACTTTCCTTCCGCAAAGCCTTCCGTACTGGCGGCAAAGTTGCCCACCACTGAGGCTGCCATCTCCAGGACGTCCTGTTCCGTGGTTCGCCGATGCGACCGATAGTCCACATCGCCGTGAGCGTTCTTTCCAAAGCTTTCGAAGTAGGATGCACTTTTCCGGTCGATTCTTTCGTCTATGTCACGGGTTGCTTTGACGCTGGGCACGTAGTCGCCAATGTCGTCGTAAATGCTGTCGCCCTTTGGAGCTCTGCTGGCGCTACCCTCTTCGACATTTCGAATCTCTGTTTTCGGCTTTTTACTTTTCTTTGAAGCTGTTCCACCTTGACGAAAGTTGGTGAAAATCTGCACTAATTTGTTGACGACAATCTCATTTGTGCTGATTGAGTTGTAGGCATCCAAGTTTGGGCACTCTGCTTTGCTACGAATGATTGTCGTCGGAATGTCACTCTCAGGGAACTCGTCAACTAAAAGTAAACGATTCAATGAATAAATAATTCGCTTCAGTTTCATCCAGCTTACCTAAATCATACTGATAGGCCATCCTTCCCTGCACAAAAAGCTCATTTCTATGCGGCAGCTTCTTGTTGAACACTGATTTGAGGATGTTTTCAGCGATTTTACTCTTGACAGCGTATCGATCACTATCGTTGAATGTAATGTCATTCACACTGTTAAGACCAGACTGACTCTTTTTCTTCTGTTCCTCTTCCTGACGAGCTTCCTCTTCCTTTTTCATAATCAGATACCTTTCCTCGTCATCTTTAGTTTGAATTTCCGCCTTCACTTTGTGCAAAAGTGCGTAATCGAGACCTTTGACTAAATGGGTGTGCTCCATATCGCCACCGAGATACTTTGATTCTTGAATCATCTGTTTTCGCCTTTCTGCCGCATCCATATCAAAGTTGCCTGGTCCGACGGCGTGGTATGCAGTGTTGGCCATTAGATCTAATTCTGATTTGCCATGTTCAGCATTGCCTCCATCCCTTCTCTCCTTAGCTCGATCTCGATACTTCTTCGCCAGTTCACTCAGCACATCATCTTCTTGCTTTTTGATACTTTCATAAAACTTCTTTTTCTTTTTCAGGTTCTCATTGGTTGGTTCCTTTTGGTTATAGCCAACACTGCTGTGTTTACTTCGAACCGAACCTCGAACAGAGCCAGGAACGGCTGAACCGCCTGCATTTGATGACACCACTCTGGGCGTCATCATTAGCTTTCGAAAGTCAGCATTTGTGAGCGGTTGTGCTTCGGAATTGGCTTCAACTTTACTAATTGTATGTTTTGCCGAAGGTAAGCTTGGCGGCGCTAAAGGATTTGAGAATGGCTCGTTGTCCATTGTGTGTTCTCTTTTTCTTGATTAAGGTGATGAGATCCTACAAATAAAGAAGAAGATTAGTTTAAAGGGTAAAAATTGTTAGAATACATACAAAAGAAAATACTGGCGATAACAGAATGCGAGAAAATCAAATAAATAAAAAGTCGATGTTGCATTTGTTTTGGTCTGACTATTTTCAAATGAGTCGCTTGCCAGCAGTGACTGCGGCTCGGTGAAAATAGCAAATGTACTCACGGAATGTTTTGGTTTGGATATTTTTATCACATTTTACCTCTGTATCCAGAAGATGTAACGCAATTTAGCGTTCTAGACGCTTCTAACTGAACTAAAATCAGGTAATGTTCACTTTATTTGATTAAAAGGTGAAAGTTGTGCTTTGTTTACTAGCTGTCAAGTCGTAGTCGGTCGTCATCGTCGCAATGTGAGCAATGCAAGCGACTGGAGATGGTTCGGATTCTTGGCGAGTCTGCAGAGTGACGCAGCCGATCGCTACTACCCAGACAGTCAGACAGCTGCAGCCGCACTGCTTCCATCGGCACACACACTCTCTCCTCTCCGACTAACTTTCTTACTGTGTTTGACAGTGTTCAAAATGTGGTCTACAAACGCTTGTACCACTTTAAGTCGCCGTCCTAATGGGTACAATCAGTTGATGAGCATCATCTGGCCAGCGGCGCAGAAGACGATTGGCAGACATGCTTCATTTCGCCAGTTGGTCGCATCGTCCTTCTACAAAGCCAGAACCTTTATGCGATTCGTGTTTGGCAAAAACTCTCCCAGTGATCTTCGACCGATTCTCAAAAATCACTCCGTCGCAGTGCGAAATGTTGCTGAAACACCTGCCTTTTCATCGGTACTTGGTCGTCTGGTTGTGGGAAAGCAATATCCCATCAAACGATTCAATTCATATTTCGAAAATTCTCGATTCCGCATTGTAAATCGTCGTTACTTTACAGGAACAGGTTTGACGCTCGGCCTTGTTGGCGTCTGTATGAAAGACGAGAATGGCTACCCGATTCTTCAATCTGAAAACTCCAACAAAACATTTGCCTGGAACCACTTTTTTCAATCCCTAATTACGCAAGATTTTGAGTTGAAAGAACTTCGCGAGGACGTTTCAGAAGTTGATTCAATTCAGTTTGGCGACAGCATCTCAAAGGGCTGTAATGGTGTCGTCTACAAGGCAACGATTGACTCGAAAAACGGCACTGAAAAGGGGGATCAGGTTGCCGTCAAGATGCTCTTTAACTACGACATTGAATCAGTTGCTACACGAATCATCCACTCTACGGTGAAGGAAGTTGTGCCGTATAATGGCAAATTCGGCAGTGTAGACATTAAGCGAAAGAAGCTTCCCCCACATCCGAACATTGTCAAAATTCTGTCCGTTTTTGTGGACTACTTTCAGCCTCTGCAGAACTGCAAGAAACTCTATCCACATGCACTCCCACTTCAGTATGGAGGATATGGACGCAACATGACGCTGTTCATCGTTGAAAAGCTGTACGACATGACATTGAAAGAGTACTTGGCGCTCTTTGGTCCGCTCACGGCTAAATGCTCACTTGGCATTTTCACACAGTGCCTCAATGGCATTGACTTTCTCAACCGAGTGAATGGCATCTCTCACCGAGACCTGAAACCGGACAATATCTTGGTTAGCATCACCGACGGCGAATCACTTCCGTGGGTGGTGATCAGCGACTTTGGCCTCTGCTCCACCAGTCTCCAGGTGCCCTTTCAGACTGATGAAGTGTGCCGAGGCGGCAATCGAGCTTTGATGGCACCGGAACTGGTCACTGCAAAGCCTTCTCCCTATGCCGTTCTCGACTACAGCAAATCGGATCTGTGGGCACTTGGAACGATGGCCTATGAAATCTTTGGCGTGGACAATCCATTCTACCGAAAGACTGCAGGCAGCCTTCGCCTGGACAGTGCCACCTACGACGAGAGCCAGCTTCCACCTTTTCCGGAGCGATATCCTCTCCTGACACAACTTGTCGGCCGCATTCTCCGTCGAGACCCTACAGAGGTAGGAGTGCACAAAAAGAGTGCAATTCTGATTGACTGCTAACTTTTTTTGTTTCATTTCCAGCGACCCACTACTCAGTTCGCCGAGGAGTTGTGTCAGCTGCTGTACCACATGGGCTCAACAAACCTCGAGCACCTGCTCAAAATTACGAATGAAAAGCGACGAGGCAAACTCATCGATGCCTGGTTCCAGCTGTGCATTGGCCGCAGTTTGTTTCGAGTGATGAACACCGCCGCCGCCGCTGATGGAGGACACAGCAATGAGCATCGAATGAAGTTCATCTTCCTCGCCAAAATGCACTCTGACAGAGTTAAATGTCTTCTCGATGAAATGGTAAAAAGTTCATTCTTTAGTTAAAAAATGTAGTTTCCCGCTTCTACAGTGTCAATCTCTATTAGAACAAGAACATGTATGTACAGTTGTTTTTGTAGAACACATTTCAATTCATAAAGTGTTCGGTAATTACAAAGTGATAATAATTATAATTAAGAAAAAAACTATAATGACAATAATAAGCACATGCTCCTTCATTTGGTGTTCTTATTTGTGAGCTTGGACTGCTTCCACTTGCGGATCTCTTCGCGAAGTGAATCGTCTACGTTGGAAAAAGCAAATGTTAGTATTGAAAAAAGACAAAAATTTTAATGCGAAAAATGCTTGGTGACATTACCTGGTATGAGTTGATCCTCTTTCAGCGGTTGTCGGTTGAAGGGATCCGTCGAGTTGTTAAGCAGGTGACGAATAATCACAGTGCGATCCATGACTGCTCCACTGGGCAAAATGACCGGATCTTCCATTAGTGTGTCCATCAGCGGATCTTTGTATTGATCGGGTGCGTCGCTGAAATCAAGCTCCTCTTGACGCTTCACTGCGAGAATTTCTTCCACCTCAGTGACAATGTCGAGAAAGGACTCAATTTTGTACTGAGCCTTGATGTTGATTTTGTTCATCTTTTCAACGGCATTGTCGAAAAGCTCTTTGCTGTACGAGCGTTCATCATTGGCAATAGCCTGAAATGAGATGAGATGACAGTTTGATTAAAAACACTGCTCTCCATAACACAATCAATTCAAAAGTTCATTACCTGATAAAACTCCTTGGACTTCAAGTGCAGGTAAATGTCGGTAATCTTGTCGAGCAGATACTTCGGGTCCCAGCCGTACTTTTGGGGGTCAGGAACCTTTAGTGTTTTACATTTCTTTCCGCACAGCTGCTGCAAGTTAAAGTTGAGCATAGCAGCCAGTCGATCAGCTAGTTCCTGTTTAGCAAACAAATTAGCAAACTAAAAGACCAACTCGCAATACAAAAACCTACCACTCGTAAGAATGGCTTTTGCACAGTGTTCGTCAGGTAGTGCATCATGTCGACGGTCTCCACGGCCAGCGTCAGGTAGGATCGCGCCTGTCGTTCGTCATGCTGCAGCTGTCGATCTCGGTTCAGCTGCTGCTCCCTCGTCTGGCTGTTCCACTTGACCTTGTCGTTCCGCTCCTCGTTGACCTCGTGAATTCGCTTCAGCGACACCAGCGCTTCGTCCAGCAGAAAGGTGGTGTCATTCATCAGCATGTTGATGAACTTGACAAAGTTCTTTCCATTTTCGGACTCATTGACGATGGCGTACTGCTGCATCGTGTTCGTCCAGAAGGACTTGAAGATAATACTGATGTGGTAGCGAATTGTGAACTTGTCGTAGAACTCGCTGGCCGCCCCAGTGGTCTCGATTTCAGTGTAGAAGCGCATCAGCGCCCGGACGAGGTGGTTCTCCGCCAGCGGGTGGCTGATGACATTTGCGTGAAACATCTTCATGTGGTTGTTCACAATGGGACTGGAGAGGAAGACCATCTCAATGAACTTGGCGGTCAGGTAGGGGTTGCTGATGTAGTTTGGTGAGCAGATGACGGTGATGATAAAAGCGATCAGATTGCTCATGCTTAGACGATCATACGAGGAAGTCGGCGACTCCAGCACCTGAGGACAGTACTGAATGACAAAGAGGTAAAAGTCCGCAATGTCTTCGATGTACCTGTGAGGAGAATGAAAAGTTCAGTAAAAAAGATATTCGTTAATAAATCGGGCTTACCATTCCGGATAGCTGGCGAAAATGGGAGGGATTTGCTCCGTGAGCGGAAGGTCGATCGCAACCGGTGAGTCGCAGTTGATGACTTTGAAGAGAAAGTTGATAAACTGATTGTAGTAGGTTATGCAGCGACCGAGAAAGCGCTCATCCAGCAGGCCAGCCTCGGCACACAGCTTTGCCTTGTGGTACTTTAGCATCTGCTCTTTGCACTTGCGAACTCGAGTCTGAATGCTGCTGCTCTGTGGCGGTTGCAACTCGGCAGAACCAGCCGGCGGGGACTGAGTTTCGATGAAGCGATTCAGCTCTCGAATCACTCGCAGTCGACGAACGTACTTTCGCTGGCAGGGAATGACACTCAGGTGGTGGGCGACCATCGTCTGGAAGAAGCACTGGGTGGAGAAGGAGGCCTCCTCCCACTTGAAATCAGTCTGCCCCGTGGTCAGTCCCTCCAGCCAGCTGTTGGCTTCGGTGGAGTTGAACTTGATGCGACTGTCGTCCTTTTTGACAGCCAGTGCATTCTGTGAGTTGTAGGGGTAGTAGGGATCAATCTTCTCTCGTTTGATGTCAGCAGACAGCTGCTGGAGGACACTGGTGAGATTGAAGAAGAAGCCATCTCCTGCCAGGACTCTTTCGTCTGACTGCAGCTGAGCTCGGTTTTTATTACGCATCAGCGCCTCGTCGAAAAACTGCAAAGTTCGCTCCCGACTTCGCTTGTTCTTCAGTAGCAACAAGAAGAGCTCATAGAGTGGCGTTCGAATGTGGTCCATCATAGTCTGCAAGTTTGAAGTCGTCTGCTTGACTATGTCACTTCCGTGCTTGGTCGGAAAGTAGGTGTCGACGATTTTAGTCTAAAACGGTAGATAAGAAATAACACAATGAAATTATGCTGGCAACACTTCAACAATAGTGCTAAAACTTACATCGTCCTCTGCAAAGAGAGACACACGCAGAAAGGGCGCCATAAAGCAGATTTTAGAGAATTCTCTACCCGCCGAGTCCGTCATTGGCTCGGGAATCCAAGAGTCAAGTTGGGTAACCTGTTAGGAAACGGAAAAACAATGTAAAACACACAGACCTTGCCAGTACAATCACTTACCAGTTCTCCAATGGGAAAGTTATTCTTTCCCACAGCAACATTGCACAGTTCAAGCAAAGCCAGCAGCGGCACTTTAACCATATTTTCGTGAATCAGCGAGCAATACGTCTGCATGTCCAGCCAGAGTAGTTGAAGAAGAGGCTCGAAAATTTTGCGAAATTCCTCCTTTTGCATGTGTTGATATGTCATTGCGATTAGGCCTGACATGAAGCCACAAGGTAGGCTGCAGCTGTACATCAGTCGAAGAATGAACTTGTTGAGCTTTTCATCCTTCAGTGAACTTTGAAGCACCAAAATGCCGAAACTGATGCAGCTGTTTCGAATGGAGCTGATTAGCTCTGCAAACGTAGTCTTTTCGCACCACTTCTCAGGCGTACGGCGTTCTTCAGTGAAGATTCGATTGTACGAGTCAAGAAGGTACGAAAATGCAAGGACAGATCGGTCGCGATAAGAAAGAAATGTTCCTCCATTGTCCTCGTCAATTGGATGGATGGCAAACGTTGACAACTGATTGTTGACTATAGAGCTGAAGTTGCTCGGTTTGTGGTCATTAAAGCGCTGCTGGCAGGTGTCGTAGTCAGACGAGTAGTCTTGCAGCTTGCCGACCACGTTCATGATGATGAACTGAACAGTGTTCTTGTAGTCATCGGCAGGATCAAAGTGCTCAGCAGGAAAAACTATGCTGGCATTTGCACCTCCCGAGAAAGAAGTTCCATTGACTTTAAAGTTGACAGCAAATATCTTTGAAATCAAAGTAAAAACTTCTAAAGACAATGACTGTGCACTTTCAGGCTCATTCAATTTGGTGTCGGGTTTGACTTCAAACGAACTTGAGCTATCACGTTGACGCTTGAGACTTTCTCGCTTTTCATCAATATTTAGTTCTACCTCCATGTTCTCAATGCCCGAATCGTTGGGAGAGTCAGTTGAGTTGAGATTGTCCACGTCCATTTTGCTCACAAAAGCTGTACTTTCCTTGACAATAGACTTGCTGGCAAAGTATGATTCACTTTTGTCATTTTCATCCGACTTGGCCATCACCGGGCTAGTCAGGGGATTCAGTAGTTCTTGCGACTTTTCGAGTGATGTGCTGCTGTTGCTGCTGCTGGTAGTATTGGAAGAGTCGAGCAGAAGCCTGCTGTGGTTAGGCACCTTTGAATTTAGTGGCGGAGCACTTGGAGCGGCTGGTGGCGTTGAAGTGTTGGCATTGATGCCTTCTCCGCCGCTGCGGCTGCTGAATGTGCCTCCCAGTCGGGCCAGACGCTTACGACGTAGCTAAAGTGGAAGAAAACAGATGATGAGTTAGAGGGCGATTGCACTTGAAAAAGAGGTTCATGCGCGTGAAGAAAACTCGGTAACAAGTGACTACCAGTCCGGTTCATCGACATAGCAGAGCTGGCACGTTCTGTTTCTCAAACTCGATCATTGGCAGAATGATCTGTTTGCTTGAGTCTCTCCCTCTTAATGCGACGGATTTTTCGGGTGTTATTGTCACACCAGCTCGCTGCTTAACCTTTCTCTGTCTGCTACGCGGAGTAGAAGTACTGATACACACATAGACACACACACACNGTGTTATTGTCACACCAGCTCGCTGCTTAACCTTTCTCTGTCTGCTACGCGGAGTAGAAGTACTGATACACACACACACAANTGTTTGCTTGAGTCTCTCCCTCTTAATGCGACGGATTTTTCGGGTGTTATTGTCACACCAGCTCGCTGCTTAACCTTTCTCTGTCTGCTACGCGGAGTAGAAGTACTGATACACACATAGACACACACACACTTGAATCACATGATAAAGGAGGAATACCAAGAGTGACTGGTTGGTGTGTTCTACAGCAGACTACAGAAGATGTGCTGTAATGCCTCTGCAATAATACACTTACTTCTTCGGGTGTTAATTCTCTTGCTGTTGACTCTCTGCTGATAGTGGTGGCGGGTATGGTGGTGGAGGGTTGACCTGCTTGATCACCATTAGCACTACTACTCGCTTGCTGCTCCATAGGGCCATTCTCTTCGTTGCTTTCACTATTCATGGCTCATTCAAGTTCTGAGGCGGAAAAGAACACTGATCAGTTAGATTTATAGCTGTAAACAAATAATCGAACTTTTTACCTATAGAAAAATAGAACTGTTGGTGGTGGTGGTGGTGATGCTGTTGTTCGTGAGTTCGGTGAGTTGGTGTCTTTTCTCAGCGTCTCTGTTTGGATGCCACCAGGAATACAACGAAGGAGCGAGCAGCACGAAAGGAACGAGTGGGATACGCAGTGGATATCGAAACCAGTACAAAGAGTGCAACAATTTCGTCTGCGACCGACAACAGAGCAGAGTAGCGAGCAGTGGGGAGCTCTTTACTCAGCTACACTGCTCTCCTCTCCCAGTGGAGACAACAAAGGCCGTCTGTCCATCCACAGCTGACTACGAAGACCAACAACAACACAGAGGTTGAACGCTACTGTGGCTACGTTCTTCACTCACTCACTGTGGCTCGTTGCGGTGACCAGGATTCACTTGCTCTCTGTCACTCGCCCTGCGTCCCACCGATTCCCGTCCCTTCTCATTCTATTCTGGCGCTTACCAGCTCTGCTCATTCCCTTTCGCTCTGGCTCTCAGCCCAAAACCAGCAGCGTCGGTTCGCCTGTACAGACACACAGACGACGAGATGAGATGTTTAGGGCGCGCTGCGTATTGTCTGCACACCAGAGCATGCGCTTGCTTTGGGTGAAGCAGCAGTAGAGTATGTTCCTTCGGTAGTGTTCAAATTGCGCAATTTACCCGCGAATGGATACCAAAAGGCAGACGCCAAAGTGGCCGCCTGCCGATGATAAGATCAATAATGATGATAACCGTTGCTATTGTTGTTCCAGCGAACAGCAGATGGGCCGCTACTATCCGCCGATCAAGAGGTAGAGAC